TCTTCATCACATTGAGATCTATTTTTTATCAGTTAGAAACTGGCATATGAAGGTCCTATCACATCCCTCAGGTCTTCCTTTAGAGAGTGTAAAGCACATTTTGAGACTTAACCCAGGATCATTTTACCATTTCTGGAGATACCCAGATATCCCCTCTTGCGAGAAGAGTTCTGAGAACAGGTCTGACTGCCCAGTGCTGAAGTACAGAACCATTCACCCTCTTAAGTGCCCTCAAGAGTGCAGTTTCTTAGTGTCTTAGTCACATTATTAATTCATCCTCTGTGTCATCCAGGGAATTTACCCTCTTGTTTCAACATGCTATGGCCGAGAAGTCATAGTTACCATTACTGTCCCAGATTCTTTTGGGTAGCTCAGATGAGAACTCAGGTTTTATTCCACCAAATTTATCTTTGTTCAAGTCAGACTATCAAGAACATATAAAGCTCTAATTCTTCTTTTGAACTTTCAGGAAAGTGGAAGACAAGGATTATTTGTTTCCATCTAAATTTTTGAATGGATAAAAATAGACTAGGATTCAGTTCCAAAGACTCGATTTCCAACTTTAAAGTAACATGAAGCAAATTATTCTCCATGTTTATAATCAGATTGCTTTTTTTTAAGCTGTGGAACTCTGTAACATGTCTATAATTAGTGGTAGTCTGTCATCATCTTGACATCAATCAGTTAACACACTATTATTATATTTATGCACAGGATATTCTTTGCTGAATCTTATGTGCTTGCTATGAAGAGTAAATTACATTTAGGTTATAACTATATTCTGAAAAGTACTTTTAAATGTGACTCTTAAAATATTACTATTGCTATTGTTTTAGTTTTCATGAATAATTTTACCATTAATATATGCAACGTTTTTCTAATATCACTCTTTCAATGAAGAAGAAAAAATTATTTTTAATGTTCCATTTGTTTTTATTTATGTGTATGATTTTTTACTCTGTATGTGTGACTGTCCTCAGATGTGGGAAAGGGGATGACTTAACTCCTGAAACTGTGGTTATAGGGGGTTGTGAGCTGTCTGATGTGGGTGCTGTGAACCAAACACATGTCCTTGGGCGGATCAGCAAGTGCTCTTCTCTTCACTGATGAATTGACTGTCCCTAGCTCCAAGAAGGAAATATTTGATCAGGACAATTTAAATTGTGCTTATATATACCGAGAACTGTCCAATCATAAACACACAACTGAATTTTTGCACTATGAGCTTACTACAACCAATATCACAAAAAGGAGTAGACTGTAACAGACTCTGCCAAAGGCTGCTGTTGCCTCAATTTGTAACATCAAAGAACACTACTTGTTCTTGCTTTAAACGTTTTTATTCATAGAATCAGAAGCCCATGAGACTTTGTGTCTGGCTTTTTTATTGTTGTTGGTTTTGCTTCACATTATTACTTTTAGATTTATCTATATTATATCATGTAGTATATGAATGATCACCCTGTAGTATATATTCTCTTTACTGTTTAATACCTCACGGAGATGTGCAAGGACTTTATTTAGGCACTTACATAGGATCTGAATATATGCTTTCCTCATTCTCAAACAATCAACTCTTACTACTAAGACATATTCATAGACACATTGCTGTTTTTTTCCATCATCTCAGAATGCCACTCCACTCTCCTTCCCATCAATGACATGGTGTTATCAGACAGTGACTGGGTTTGTGGCAGGATTCTAGCCTTCTGTGACTGTGCATCTTATGATATGGACAGTCATTCAGATCCTACAGATTTTATTGTCTTAAGTAATATACATGGAAGGGTGGAGTTAGAAGAAGGCCTCTAAAGCATCTCCAGTTCAGAGATCTATTCAGAGTAATGGTAAAATGTTAGAATGGTAACTTCCTAAAAGTATAGTTCACCATCTATGAAATTGCCATGAGATCACAGTGTCAATCCAAGCTATTATAGTAGGTCAGTTTTCATCTCATCAACTTCATCAATAGTGAATAAGAATAAATCTATGAGCTTTGTCAAATTTTTAGATTCTTTTTTACTTTTTAATTGTCAATTTTTTGGCCGTGAAGTGGTATTTGAATATAAGTTGATTTCTCCATATTTATTTTAATGAAACTATCCATTTACATTATTTACATAGTTATTCCAGAAGCTGTCCATTTACTCTGCTTATTTTCTCCATTATTTTCATTTTTAGTATTGATTTGTTGTAGATCTTCCTGAATGCTATATTGTAATTCTTTGTTATATGACATGAAAATATTTTTCTTAGATTTTTATTAAATTTCCTGCACTTTTATGGTATTATTGATAAATGGATTCTATTATTTTAATTTGGATCAGCCAACATTTTAGTGTTGTTGTATGATACTTAATATACTTTCATTTCACAGTTTACTGTCTTACAAAAATTTTGCAGATTTCCCATTCTAATTTTAGCCTGGACCAGCTAGAATTGATTGTTTCATTTTGTTTGTGTAGGTAACTAGATATCCTAGCACTATTATTAACCAATGTCCTGCCATTCCTCCTTACCTGAAATGCAAAACTTAATATAAATTACTTCTGTATGTATTAGAGCTATTTGTATATTATTTATTTTATCTTACTATCTGTCTCAATCCATTCTCTTACATGTCATAAATTTCTTGTGTCTACAACTACACAGTCAAGTTGCTGCATTTCATTCTCTATTTTGGCTACTTTATTTTTTTCTATAGAATTTGTAAAATTAGCTTATTAAATCAATTTAAAAATCCATTGGGAATTGAGTAAATTTTTACTGAATCTATAGATTTCTTTAAATTTGCAAAACAGTTTTCCCCGGCTTATAAGGAACCCTATGGACTTTCTAATATAATACAATCAGACACTTCCATGGATCATTTTAATCTTTCCAATTATACAATTGTAGTTTGCTAATATGCCATTATTGTCCTCAGTTGTCATCTTTACATTGTTTCCATGCTTTTCTTGTTCACAGTGCTAGCTGTGGGTTTCAGGATTGTACTGAGTTCACATACTAATAATCAGAATCCTTGCCCTGGTTTTGATCTTGCAGGGAGTTTTCTTTCTTTCTTTTTTTTTTCCTTTTCAAAAATCAAATGTGCTCTAGGTTTTAGAATATTTGCCACACTTATTTCCCTGGGGCAGCAACAGGGAAAGCAGGTGCCATTTACCAACATTACCAGGTACCCTCTCTGCCTTAGTCTTTTAGACCACACTAGCCCTGAAGGATCAGTATCACTAATTATCTCAGACACTGACATTTTTAAAAGTTGTATAATTTCTGTCAGTGACATCACAGCTACCAAGTGGTCAAAATGAAACCTAAGTACACACTTAGGTGGTACCCAATATTGAAACAGTTGTCATAATAAATTTTCCAGCGACTTAGATATCTCCATCAAATCATTCTGACACAGGAATGATTAGGTCTGCTATATTCATGGCATATCACATATTGTATCTACTATAAGGGCAGGCCTCAGTTACCTTTAAATGTATGAAATAAGGCTACTTCTTACTAGAAATTAGTTTGTGCTTTATGTGACTATCACTTAAAATTTGGACTGTGTTCCATGAACAGTAGATTGTTTACCAGTAGTCACTGAGGACTCTGGCAGGACTAGTGACATGGTCTACCAATGTGTAGGCACTTCAAGAAAGTCAGGTCCTCTGGTTGTGAGGAGCTGAACCCTTGAATGGAACTCTGACACTATGAGATGAATTAACCTAGCAAACAACAGTAGTGCTGAAAAGTCATTGTTTTGGTAGTCTTGATGACACACCTCTGTAATCCTGGAGCTCAGGAAGCTGAGGCAGGAGAATTGTTAGCTGGAGGCTAGCATGACCTACATAATGACTGCCTCAACAAAACAAAATTAGAACAGAGAGGAAAAAAATCTATTGCCAGGGAGAAGTAAAACTCTGAATATTCCAGTGTGCTAACAGAGATGCTGTGCTACCAGCAAAAGAGATCCTCCCCCTTTGGTAGAACTTTCCATTATCTTTCTAGTTTATCACAAGCTGATTTCTAGCTATAAGGCCTCTTTTGTTGTTGTTATTTTGTATTTTTTTTTGTTTGTTTAGGATCTTCTTTTTTCCCTTTGTCATTCTTTTATTGGTTTGCATGTGTTTCGGCATATTTACCATCATTGCTTGGGAAGACACAGGAACATTTGATTTTACTTACGTCTTCCTTGGGTTGCCTTACTTTACTGGTGGGAGAAGACTGCTCTTTCCAAATGGCTGCATTTCTGTTTGATCTGTCTGGCATGTGGTGGGATCCACATTGTAGCTTCTAAATATACTAAAGACTCAGCTATGTACAGAATATTGAGACTTCATTTGCATGCCGCTCCTATGATGTTCATAGCAGCCAGCTCTACCATCTGCTCGGTGAGACCAGGGGATGAGCTAACCATCAAGCTGACTGCAGCAGACTTTTTATAACTACCCACTCCATGAGGGAGGCAGTACATACGTACTCCACAGGAGACTGGCTTATTCCCAGATCAAGTTCCTTCTTTCCCCCTTACTAAAAAACTGCATGGTCTTTCAGTGGTGAAAATGCTTGGGTCGTGATTGAGAAAGACCTTTGAATATAAATATCTCCCGGAAAACCAGTTCCTTGGATGATACAAATGTGTCAGACTTTGGAGTCCATTGTTATCAGCAGACAGGCTCCAGCCAAGATGCATTTATGGTACCTGATTCATGCCCTAAAGATAACACAAAGCTGCCTTGTCTGATCAGAGCTCTTACAGCGATACTTAAAAATTAATTGAATTTTCAAGAATGTCACTTTTAGCTACTGTAGTTGATGACCCAATACCTGAAGCAGTTTAGTAAAAGTGTACTGCCACCTACAGCACTATAGAAGTATTTGAAGGGGCTTTTGTCCTGAATGTATGTTAATTTAAGCAAAGTTCATTAGCTGTTGCATTTATTAAGGTCTACTGACGTGCCATGCACTTACCGACTTACACACGTATGTTATCTGTTTTCCTCTAGGAAAAGAAGAGTACATTGCCACCTTCAAGGGATCTGAATACTTCTGCTACGACTTGTCACAAAACCCCATTCAAAGCAGCAGCGATGAAATAACCCTGTCCTTTAAAACTCTCCAGAGGAACGGACTGATGCTTCACACAGGGAAATCGGCTGATTATGTCAATCTTGCCTTGAAAAATGGAGCTGTCTCTCTGGTCATTAATTTGGGATCAGGGGCCTTTGAAGCGCTAGTGGAGCCCGTGAATGGAAAGTTTAATGATAATGCCTGGCATGATGTGAAAGTCACCAGGAATCTGCGTCAGGTAACAAAGCAGTGGATAAGACAGTAACCGCCTTTGTTTATTGCTACAGCTGTGCCTGCGGGACCCACAGATGTGTGTGTGGTCCTTGAGAACCCCACCCACACGAGTCAGGGCTCAGAGTTGCTCACAAGATTAGCTTTTCCTTCTGAGATGAATCTTCCTGCCATACTTGAGCAGGGGCATATCTAGAAAGTCCTAGGGCCCAAGGGCTATTTTAATACAGCGACATATGATTATTTTCCAGAGGGCTGCAAGGATGTCCCTGCAACCTGCCCTTCCTGTAATGTGTGTGATTTTGTTGTGATTTTGATTTCCTGTTTGTTTAATTTAAAATTGTAGTTTTCATAGTGGTCATTTGGAAGCATGGGCATTGACATTGGGGTCATTAAATCACAGTTCATTTTTTGCAGTTCAAAAAAAATTTTTTTTGTCACTTGGGATTTTTATTAATCCCTATTCCATCCTCTTCCCAACCCAACATGGGAAAACAAAAGGTTCCTGAGGAGAAAAGTTAAGTCTTGGGTGTAACCTATATTCTGAAGTTTTTGTTTATGAAGATATTTTTATTTTTAGCATAGATTTAACTTAAACTACAAATGATATGGAAGGTAACCTCATCCTCTAGGTGCCATCTGAGTCTGGCTATACTGTATGTTTTTAATGGGACATATTACAGTATATACTGAATGCAGACTAGATTATTCTCATATTTGGATCATTTTGATTTTTGATTATCTGAAATTTTATATTATAATGTATCGTTTTCTTAAGTGTTGACAATGACTAATTTTTGAATGGTAAATGCTAATCTCAAACTAATATCCTTAACATACTTGTTGTTTCTCTGAACAGTTGCAGAATGACTGATTGTCTCTGGTTTTCCTTTGCCAAAAAGGCGCTCTCTTTTTTGAGCTGTTAACTAACCTTTTCCTTCCCCTCTGAAAGGCTTCAGCTATCTGATCTAGAGAAGCAAAAAGGAGTTTAGGAGTGGAGATTTAGTGTAATTGAGGCAGACAAGCAAAACTTAAAGACTATGAGTGTCTCCAAGGCCTTTCAGATACCCATGGACACGGGAGGAGCCACTTGCTTCCCACCGCTTTGGGAGAGGGTTACCCACAGTCAGTGTAGCCATAGACCACGGGGTTTCCTGTAAGTCTGTCTCTTTGGTTTTCCGTTTTCATTTTTTTCCCCTCTCATATACTCACCAAGAGACTGGAGGCTCATTTGAGACAAGCACAGAAGGAAGGGTGGGTCTTGAGGTGCCCACTTTCTAGATGTGCCTTTGCTCAGGTTACAAAGCCAGTTGAGAATCCATAGCTCCAAGAAAACAGAGGTTGCTGCAGACAGGGCGCATGCGTGGCAGGACAGATCACAAACAAGTCCATTCTGCTCATTTCGTGTGTCAGGATCTTTGCTCTGTTTCATTGCAGTATACTGTGACCCTAAAGTCCGTCAATATGACCGAAGGAAGTTTTGGAGTTGAGGAGGAGTCCTTGTGTGCTGTAAAATTGAGTAGCAGGGCAATGCCAACAGAATCCTACTAATTTGCTGGGGCTGGGTGTGGGTGTGGAGTGGGGGGCTATGGAGGGCCTAGGGTGACAACGGCCAGCTGATAGGCTTCAGGCCTTTAAATGAATCCTTTGTAGAAGTTTATGATGGCCCTCAGTTGTCCTCAGGAAGACAAAAGGAACATTGCCATGTGTCTGTTTCTGTCTAGTGACAAGAGATGACCAAGGGCAGGAAAAGACTATCTCCTCTGCGGGAGGCCTATTTGTTAGTCTGCTTTTTTTCCTTGTAAAATTTTTTTGCCCTTTTTCTATGTTACTAACATGCTTAATAACTAACATGTCATTCATGGAATGTTTCATTCTACTAACCGTTACCTGAATCAAAAAAAAAAAAAAAAATGTACTAACATGGTAGATGCCATCATATTTTTTAAGTAACGATCGTTATTCTGTTCACAGTTTTTAATTTCCTTTCTCCCCCCTTCTCCACAAAGCACTCAGGCATTGGACACGCTATGGTAAACAAACTACATTGTTCGGTAGATATCATTCTAACTGTTTCTTATTTTGGGTTTGCCGTGTGTTTCCTTTCTTTCTTTTAACTGTAGACATCATTAACAAAAGAGGAAGTGCGGTTGGTACCCTTCTGCTTACCTTGACCTCCTTCTTTTCATCTGTTGTTGACTTTTCTTTTTCTTTTTTTAACCTGTTCCCTGTCAACTTCTGTTTTCGAACTCACCTCGTAGGGGCATCGTTAACGTTTCAAACTATTTTTAATTTTTAATTTTTTTTTTTTGCATCCAGCTGTGGTTAACACGAGATAAGAAAAAAAAAATGGTGGCTGGCCCAAGTGACCGCAGGCTCAGCCAGTCTCTAACGATTCATGATGCATGGCATGGAAACTTGGTTTGGGAATGTTGGAGATGCCACGCCCACTCATCTTTACTTCATCACTAAGCCGTTATCTTTCTCCTTTGGTTCTCCCGTCTTCTTTCCTTTACTTTCTGAACGTTCTGTACCTCCTGCATGTGCATCGCGAGTGCTGCTTCCACTGGTTGTTTTGCCGCCTAGTCTTCCCTAAGCATGCCTCAGGCACTTGCATGCTCAACAGTTGCTGCTCAGTAGTGCAAACAGTGACTTTGCTGGAAATAGCTTGCGCCTTTCCCGTTAACAAGGTGCACGTTGTGACTAGTGAATAACAGACAACTAAACTTTACTAATATGTACACCAGCAAAACTAACCTAGGAGGCATTTTACTAACACCATTTTTGTGTCTGCTAAATAACTTTTGAGTTGCAGCAGGGATGATGCTGACGCTAGTTCAATGATCAGTTAACTCTCTAACTAGTATAGATCTCTCAGGGCTAGCTGAATAGAATCCAAGAATAAACGTCAAACAGACATGAAAATGGGTTCCGCTATAGGGCTAAAACTGAAAACCAAACAGAAAAAAAAAAAAGCAAAGCAAAAACAAAACAAAACAAAAAAGGCAAAACAAAAAAATAAAATAAACCAAACACAAACAGGCATACCCCAGGATTGCAGCATCTAGGTCTGAGTATAGCGTGTCCTTTCCCTGTGCTTTGTTATCTAGGTGACAATATCAGTGGATGGGATTCTTACCACAACGGGCTACACTCAAGAAGATTACACCATGCTGGGGTCTGATGACTTTTTCTATGTGGGAGGCAGTCCCAGCACAGCCGACCTTCCAGGGTCACCAGTCAGTAACAACTTTATGGGCTGTCTCAAAGAGGTAAATATTGAAGTCATGGAACCATTCTTAACTCATGATCTCATCTTTGCAGATCCAGACTGAGAGCTCCTTTACAGAAGACCTGATGTTCCCAGAGTGAATGGCACAACCTTACATTCAGGCTTGTGTTGTTTAGGCAGGATGGTGGGGGGAGGCAGCTCACACATCATGCTGAGGAATTAATCTCTGCTTTCCACAGTGGACACTCTCCTGGAGAGCTATGAGAGGGCATCAAACCAAAAGAGATTTGGTCTAAAGTTATACTAAGGGATAATTGTTTTGAGCTAACTGTCTGGGGCATTGTGTGTACCTTGGTGGCTTGTTTGAGAGTTAAAGGAAAAAGAGAGAGAAAAAAAAAAGAGCTACAAGAGGAAAGGAAACAACCTACATAAAGCCATAACAGAAAACAAAAATGAGGCTGCATAATGAAATAATTCTGTTGCTGTATTTTTAACTGTGTCCTGAAAGTGGGAGAGCGGTGTCCTTTGTGATCTGGTAAGTTGACATATTTACCTGATGAAAATCAGAGCCGAGGAGAGCAATTTTATCCTCCATTCTCAGCTGTCAGTGTCTGCTGTAAATTTTTATAAGATTGCAATTTGTGAGGAAAGACCTGAAGGGCCTTGAATTCCAATTTTATATTCCATAAGGGCTAAATTTTTTTTAAAAAAAAATATATTCAGTCACTATAAATTTTGTTTTCTGGGTATTGGAGCATAAAGTTCTTCCCTTTGTTGTATGGCAGCAATGAAACAATGTAGACTTTTACAATATAAAGTGAAATGATTATGAACTTACCAGTTAATTGGGTACAACAATCACTGCTAACAAGCAGTGCTGTAGTTTGTTTTATTCTGAAGAAAATGTAATCATATAAACTTGATTGAAGTATTTTATTTTAGATTTATTTTTCACCCAACAGTGAAAAAGTCAGTATTTTATGTTAAGTCATCATTATTTGTCTTCAAAAATACTATAACTGTTTCCCTGTGTGTGTGTGTGAGAGAGAGAGAGAGGGGGGGGAGCAAAAGAGAGAAAGAGAGCAAGGGAGAGAGAGGGAGGTAGAGGGAGAGACAGAAAGAGGGAGGAAAGAGACAGAAAGACTGAGACAGACAGAGACAGACAGACAGAGAAAAATAACCCCAAGGGGAATTCAGAACTGCTATAGTGTAACAGATGCATGCAGTTTGCCAAGGGCAGAATGGATCCATACCTTGGGGTGAGGGAGCTTGCCTCTCAGAGAGTGAATAGTACTCTCTGAAGATATAAAATATGCCATAGGGTCTTTGTTAATCTCCATAGGCAATAACAAACTAGCAATATGGTAATCATCATTATGAGAGAAACAGTATCAACATCTTCAAAGTGCTTAGTGTTTAACAGTATCTTAAGCTGTCCAGTGACCCTCACAATGTAGTTAGCGATTTACCTTCTTTATTTTTCAAACAAAGAATCTGAGGCTCAGAATAGGTAAGTTATTTTCAGGAAGAACCACTACACTTAGGTACTAAAACCTGAAGCTCAGGATTTCCTAGTCTTCTGTGCTGGTAATTACCACAACTCACCATCTCCTAGAAACATTTCTTAGGTCACTGACATTCAAGGTTGTACATACGAGCTCTCAGTTTCATTAAAAATAGAAGCTGGTTTTAGAAATGCATAATGCAGTAGTAGAACATATGGCCAATGTACTTGTTTGAGCTGAAAAGAGACTTAACTGAATGTGAGTTTCAGTAACCAAGAAAGACATGGAAGGCAGGTATGTGAGCCTGGACAGGCAGAAGACAAACAAAGTAGTTCTGATTAGTTGAGTAAAGAGAGTCATTGCATGCTTTGACTTCATAAATACACTCCCCAAACCCTTTCCTGGCCATTCCTAAGTCTTCACACCAAGGTGTGATGTTTGTCTCCACTCTGTAATCAGTCATAGGACATCCTTTACCTATAAAGTGTGATACTTTGGTTAAACTGGAAAATGTCCAGAGCCCAAGGACTTTTAGCAGGAATGTAAACCTAGCTGAAGAGCATCTTTGGGCATGCCTATGAAAAATGGATGTAACTGAGATATTGGGGTCCTCTGAGACAAATGACATTCTGCTATGGGTCCAGTGAACAAGCACATTTTCATGTATGTGAAGCTGCAGTGAACTGCCTTCTCTGGAAATAAGAGTTACAAATTAAGTCATGCTTCAGACCAACATCTCTGCTGTTCAGATGTTCATACACTGATATAGCTCACCATTCATCTTCTTATATTAACAGTTCAATCACAAACAATATGACAGAAAGAAAAAATGCAAAAAAAAAAAGAAAAACATGAAGTCACATGGTCTTTCAAGTGTCCCTTAGCCAGCAAGTGTATAAAAGTGGGTTCATTCTCTCTTCCCTTTCTGTAGATTTTTACATCCAAATCCTTCCTACGTGTGGGGTGGACCCAAGCCACCTTTCTGCTTCCCATAGCCTGGGGAATTTGTTTGGAGCAAGTGCTGTGAGGATTTGCAGTCCTGTGTGATGTGTCTCACTTGGTTTCCCTCCAGCACACTAGGGGTTAGAAGGTCATAGATACAATCTGTTTATAAATTTAAAATATTCCATTGGAAGGCTTTTCACCTGTTCATAGCTCCCACCTACATTTGGATCATCTTTCATAATAGCCTGATTTTGCTTATTTCTGAAAAAAAAAATAGTGAAAAGGCACCATGGATTTTTTTTAGCTAAATCACCTTTCTCTAGGAAGGTCAGATTTGTAGACTTTGTGAAGAGAGAGGAATATGCCAGTGTTCATTCTCTTGTTTGTTATCCTAAACCCTGGTTTAGAGTTCCTAGCCTATAGCAGATTCCATTCCTAATGCCTTAATTACAACTCCATTTATTGGCTTATTATGTTTTGTTTTGTTTTTTATTTTCAATCCAGTACATAATCCCCCTTAGGATAGTCAGTTCTGTAGGAGAGTCTAAGGGCACCCAGCCTGAAGCCACAGAGGACTCTTTGGAGTAGGAATAACCCTGACAATCATTCTCTAACTCTGATTGCTTTGAAAGTGGAGAAGCAGATGTAGAGAAGGCAATGCTGGGGAGCAATGAAGGGATAACACAGGGTTAGCACCCAGCCTCTAGACAGATAACATAGCTGACTGGATGATGATGGCCTCATTGTGATCCATGCTCATTATCATAAAACTAGACATGCCCACTTCATTTACTAAGTTCTACCTCCATTCTTGAAAATTAAAGCAAAAAAAAAAAAAAGAAGAAGAAGAAATTTTTCAACATAAAGCAGCAACCTATAGTTTAATTTTCTTTAATGACATCTTTCTTCTTTTGTGGCATTTGTAATGTTAAATGAGACCTAAGAGTGGCACCTTCAGCTACCGGGCCACACAAAGTTAGTGTATGACAATCAAATTTCAAAATAAAATAACAGTGTGTAAAAAACAGTGTGTTGAAAACAAGAAGAGATCTTGAACAGCTAGCAGAGAAATAATTTCTTTTGTAACAGTTAACTTAGTCACAAACCATTGAAAAAGTCATTGGAGAAAATGGCTTTCACAGACTGAAGTTTTAGGAAAGGCAAAGGGAAATTATAAACAATGAATTAGCATTATACATAGATCACTGTAATAAAATTAGACACAGGCTTTGAGAAATACACTTCAAAATCTTACTGTAGTGAAAACACCCCAAATTCTTTTTTGGCAGGAATGCTTGCTTCTAGTCTTTGCATTTTTGGAAGCATCATTTTAAAGCTAATAGATGTTTCCTAAGAATGTTTTATAAATTTATAAATGTTTTATAAATTTTCTATTGAAGTGTGTTTGAACGACAAATAGGTACAAATAGGAGAAAGGTTGAGAGCCCTGAAGAAAGAGGAACCTTGGCATCTGAAGGAGATGCTTAGGATCCATTTGAGGAAGCTCCAGTCCCACCCACTTATCTTGGAACACTTGAAAAAGCATTTCCTTGGCTTCAAGTACTATAGTTTTGTCCCAACGTGCTCATTAAAGGCCGCTTCCCAGCTACCAAAGGTTGGTGAAAATCTCACCCATGGAGTGTTTTACTCCAATATTTTGACCATGAGGACTTGGATAGTAAGGGATCCAGTGGTGAGAGTAATGCTTCTCCCATTAATCCTATCCGTGCTTAACTTAAGTCCAGTATTTTGTATGTCGTAATTTCTCTGTGTCCGAAAAACACTCTGAAACACCTGCTTCCTTCCTGCGGAGTGGACATTATTTAGCATGGCTTGCTGGTTAGGAAAGGAGACCAAGGAAAGGGGAAATGACTGTGTTCATGAATAAAACACCTTAGAATGCTTTGTCTGAAGTCTGTTTTCAGACTCGTGCCTGCTGCAGGTTTCCTAATCAGTTGCTGTGGTGGAGACTGTGCCTGTGTGAGGTAATTCAAAATGCTGCCTCTAAGAATGGCTTGGAAGGTGCCCGAGGAAAGATTCTTGAGAGGGGGTTAAAAATGGAGTGAAACGCTAGAGGGAATTAAGTCCCTACTGAAAATTTCATTAACCTAATTAGGTCAGCTCAGCCTGTAATTACACGTGGAGATTTTTATCACTAGAAATCTGTAGGAAGCTCGAAGGTGGGTGAGGTTCAGGAAACACCCCGTCTAATAAAAAGGAATTTTCCCTCACTGTGAAAACAGAAAATGGCCGATTTCTGAGTTCACTGGAATGGGGGGACAGTCCCCTGAGAGGAATGTAGGGACCACACCGTTGTTGTTCTCACATTGCATGGCTCTCAGTAGTTGGGGAGAAGTACTTCCTTTGTGAGGAAGGCCCTTTTGCACTTCCTTCTTTTTGCACAGCAGAGGATGTACTAACACTGTGAAGACTGTCCCTGGTAGACCTAGCTCATCTAAATCCTTCCTTCCGGTAGACTTCCTCCACCAAGATGGAAACCACTACACATAAGAACAAAAGGCCACCACAGATTTTGCATTTTAGGTTATTTTTCCTATTCTGAAATAAGGTCCTTTTTATGACCTGTTGG